TATGGCAGCTATATCCTTTCAAAATGCATTTGTTAAAATGAAGACTTGAATGTTAAAATGCCTTCTTGATCCATGGGCTGCAGAATGGATATTGTGTGAGTAAGCATGAAAACAACATTTATCTCATTGTACTTCTCTTTCTATTAGAGCTCTTGGGTGACCAGGTGCATTGTCAATGAGCAGTAATATTTTGAAAGGAATCTTTTTTTTTTTGAGTATTAAGTCTCAATAGCAGGCTTAAAATAGTAAACCATGTTGCAGACAGATATGTTGTCATCCAGGCTTTGTTGTTCCATTTACAGAGAACAAGCAGAATTGATTTGACACAACTCTTAAAGACTCTAGGATTCTCAGAGTGACAAATGAGCATTGGCTTCAACTTAAAGTCACCAGCTACATTAGCCCCTAACAAGAGTCGCCTATCTTTCGAAGCTTTGAAGCTAGGCACTGACTTCTCCTCTTTAGTTATGAAAGTCCTAGATGACATCTTCTTCCAGCAGAAATCTTTCATCTACATTGAATATCTGTTGTTTAGTGTAACCACCTTCACTAATTATCTTAGCTAGATCTTCTGGGTAACTTGCAGCTTCTACATCAACACTTGTTGCTTCACCTTGTACCTTTATGTTATGCAGACAGTTTCTTTCCTTAAGCCTCATGAACCAACCTCTGCTAGCTTCCAACTTTTCTTCTGTAGCTTCCTCACCTCTCTCAACACTTACAAAATTAAGGAAAATTAGGGCCATGCTCTGGAGTAGGCTTTGACTTAAGGGAATGTTGTAAGTGGTTTGATCTTCTATCCAGACCACTAAGACTTATTCCATATCAGCAGTAAGGCTGTTTTGCTCACTGGAGTAGCATTTTAATTTCCTGTAAGAGCTTTTCCTTTGCATTCACAGCTTGGCTGACTGGTGCAGCAGGTCTAGTTTCAGCCTATCTTGGCTTTCAACATGCCTTCCTCACCAAGCTGAATCATTTCTAGCTTTTGTTTTAAGGTGAAAGGTGTGAAACTCTTCCTTTCACTTGAATACTTAGAGGTCATTGCAGCATTATTAATTGGCCTAATGCAATATTGTTGTGCCTCCAGAAATAGGGAAGCTTGAAGAGAGATGGGGGAATGGCTGGTCAATGGAGCTGTGAAAACACATGCATTTATCCATTGATTTTGTTGTCTTCCATGTGCATGTTTATGGCACCCCCCCAAAACAATCACAATAGTGATATCAATGATCACTGATCACAGATCACTGTAACACATATTATTAGTAATGAAAAAGTTTGAAATATTGTGAGAATCACCAAAATGTGACACAAAGACACAAAGTGAGCAAATGCTGTTGGAAAAATGTGGATAGACTTGCTTGATGCAGGGTTGCCACAAACCTTCAATTTGTAAAAAAAACACTATCTGTGAAGTGCAGTAAAGCAAAGCACAATGAAATGAGGTATGACTGTACTTAGTGGGCATTTAATACATATTTGTTGAATGAATAAGTGATTTTTTCTATCATTATGTGTGGAGAATTCTCATTCGTTATCTCTGTAAATAGTGCTACTTTCCTGTTCTCTGGTGTTTTCCCTCTCTCCCTCCAGCAGTCATGGAGTGGAGCTGCTCCTTCTCTGACAATGTCTCTTTGTCTCCCTTCCATATTTAATGTTTTTACTCTCTTTAGCTTTATGGTTTCTCAATTTCAGTATTTTCCATTTTCAATTCTGTCTAAACTGCTTTCACTTACTCATTGTATTTTTCACTTCCATGTTACTTAATTAATCCCTAGAAGTATTCTTTAGTTCCCTTTTAAAGCTGACGTTTCTTTTGACATTTTTTTCTTAGCTACACTTAGGTTGCCCTCTTTATGTCCTCGATTAAATTAAATTTATTGAAAAACATTTTATATTCAATAATATCAATCTCTATCATCCAAGGGGCTGATTCTTCTTTTTCTGGTTTTGGATGTCTCTCATTTAGTCTCTCTTATCGTGACTTTGGATTATGAGTTTAGAGAAGATACCAGTTGTGGATATAAAACGTATTCTCCTTGGAGAAAATTTGTTTTACTTTCGCCAGGTTCACCATCTACCAGAGAATATCTTAAACCAAAGTCTCAGCCTCCAAGACTCCCCAACAGATTGTGTTTCATTCTACCTGGAGCTAAGACTGAAACAGATACAATTAAGTCCCATCTCCTTTTGTATCATGAGTTTCTTTTTCTTTTGCTTATTAGATTACCTATTGGAGGCATCACATTTTGGATGCCTGGAATTTTTTTCAGGGCTTTGTGACCACTGAATTTTATTTTCTCTCCCCCATAAATGGGCCATTAAAACAAAGGTTTTGGTCACCAAAGAATGTTAGGTACTCCTAGGTACCCTCTTGTTTCAACACCACTTTCATCTATGGATTTGTGATATGTCATCTTTTTTGGCCTTGTTATATTTCTCTTACATTTTTACAAGTTATTGTATGTCTTTAAAAATATTAAAACAGTTCTAATCCAGTTTCTAGAATGCTGTTTTTAAGGATATTTTGGACTATTTGGTTCACATACTGCTGAAGTGGATGTCCTCAGTTATTTCTAGTGTAGATTACGAAGCTTTTGCAATAGAAGACAGTTTTGCAAACAGGGCTGTCTTCCCTCTTCAGAATAATCCAATAATTACGTTGTGACTTGTGACTAAATGCTGTCTTATATAAGGAGGAAAGGAGAAGGGATGGTTGAGTTGTGGTGGGAATTGTGAAGAAGATGGTAGTATAGGGGGATTCTTTCTAATGGGGGCATAGAGCATTGATAGAAAATATTAAATCATATTAAATATAGACATCTACTTTCAAAATAAAGGCAAGACCCCACAGGGACCAGAAACAGAGTAGAGAATCAAATCTCTGAATGGACAGCAGATATTTTGATGTATTTGTGATACTGAGACTAAAATATATAATAGCAACTGGGATTTCTGCTCTTTCGAGGGGGCTAAAAATCAGCCCACTGCCCATCATCAGAGGCTGAAGAGGCACTGATCACTATTTCATGGCTGTGCTTTTGATTGATCAAAGAAAGACTGAAGTGCAGAATGGCCACTGTGTGATTGCTTGGGGATTAGACCTGTGACGTTCCAGAAGCATGAGTTGTAAGAGTTCCAGAAACCCGGGTTCTGAGTTGTGGTCCGCTGGGAAACAGAGATATAAAAATTATAATTGTGGGATGATTAAATAAAATGAAAAAAATTTCAAAATTTAAAGGATGAAATGCCATCCATGAAGCAAAAATAGGAGTTTATGATACTAAGTGGGGACATTTTGAAACAAGAAGAAAGTAAAAATCTTGGAAAGAAAAAAATATAATCTTTGAAATGAAAACTTTCTTTTCTAAATATAAATAGAATACTGGAAACAGTTGCTGAAAAGATTAGTTAATTGGATTAAGGAATGAAGAATGCTGGAATTGATAAGGCATACAACACATGTGATATTAGGAATTCAAGAGTTATGGAAGATTGATTGAGCAGTGCCATTTTATATGTGACTGGATTTTTAGATATGGGGATGTGGGATATTCCAAGAGATAGAGCAAAAGATTTTGTGGTATTTCACACAAGAGAAATTTCCCATATTGATAGGTAATCAAATTCCATTAAACCAAACCAAAATATAATCTACCCCTAGAGGCATTATTAGAGTAAAATTGTAGGACAGCTAAGAGAAAAAATTTAAAATATGCTAAAATGAACAGCTGAATCAAGTATAAAAGGAATAACAATTTGATTGGCAGACTTCTTACCTGTAGTGACCTCAAAAAATGGCAGAATAATGGGCTAATATATTTAAAGTAATTAAATATCATTTTAGAATTAAGAATGAATATGTAACAAAGCATTTTCAGATGTACAAAGCTAAGAGATTTTACCACACAAAAACATGTTCAGACTTACAGAAGTAAGATAGTTTACCATACATAGGATATAGCGGAAAGAAATATTAAAGGATATTCTTCAGGAAGAAGAAAATTGCAGCTAGACTTTGAGTGTGGAATGTAAGAATAAAAAGGTAGAATAATTGGTAAATCTAAATAGTATTGATGTTTTTAAAAAATGGAATAATCTCATAGACTTCAGCTGTATCAATAGTATTTTATTTCTTTTACAAAAATGTGAGGTAAATATGAAAGTATATTAATTTCTAAAAGATTGATTTACCTAAGAAAAAACTCAGGGCAGAATTTAAAAAGTTCAAAGTAATGTGGAATAGCAGGAATAGTAAACATTTTACATCAGTTTATCGGTGGAAATTACCAGATGAACACATTTTAAAAAGAAATACATATCCCTGTGCATGTGGGAAACATCTGATAAAATTCAACATTTATTTATAATAAAAAGTGAACTGACTGGAAGAGAACTTCAGTAGGTTAGGAGCAATGAGCAAACAACATACTATTATGTATAGTAAAGTAACTATTAGGCTTTTTTTGCAGTTTTCCAGAAGAGCAGTTGGAAACACCAAGGAGAAAACCATGGCTAAGAATCTTGATAAATTCACAGGAAAACATACGAGGAAACTCACAACATGAGAAATCCAGTGATTTCAAGGTTTGGAGATGGGAGCAGCCGTATAGTGCTGCAGAAAGGGTAGAGTTTAAGTGAAAATAACTGACGCAAAACGAGGAGGATGGAGAGGAATGGAGGGGAATGGAGGGACCTTTCTTGCAGAAAAGCGCCGATGTCTGAAAACACATTGGCATCTCTGGGCAGATGCTCGATTTCAAAGATGAGATCTAGAATCTACTTTCTCTTCCAGATGTCTTCATCTTCTACTGTAGCCAGTCTGCACAGAAAAGGAGTTTACACATGAAGTGCTCAATTTCCAAGTTGTAGTATATTCACCGTAAAGGGTGTTGGCAATTCCACAAGCCTGTGTGTGTGCGTGCGTGTGTGTGGCGTGTGTGTGTGTGTGGCGTGTGTGTGGTGGTGGTGGTGGTTTTGGGGGTGGTGGTGGTGGCGGTTCAGTCCTGGAACAGGCGTCTCCGGGCCTTGGGCGGAGGACCAGGCGGGCGCTGGGGGCTCACCTGCGGACCTGGACTTGGAGAGGGAGGTAGAGGTTGGAGCGGTGAGCTGGGGAAGGGCTCCAGAAGGTGGAAGTCCAGGTTGAAGGAGGGGCCAGGAGAGCGTCTCTCTGCACTAGGGACGGGGGTCCAAGGCGAGGGCTCTGGCATGCAGCCCTGCAGGTCGGGTCTGGGCGGCGTTGCAACAAAGGGGCAGAGCCCAACTACTGAGCCCGCTGCAAGGTCCACCCAAGGCAGCGAGAACTCGGGGTCGGCGTCCTCCTCATAGGTCTCTTCTTGGGCGGCGATCTCTGGGACAGATCCCGAACGGAATCCCTGCTCGACGGCGACATCCTTCTCAGGAGTGCTCAGTAAAGCGCTGGGTTCCAGACCGACAGGCGACGGGCCCTGCCCTCCCTCCAGGAGGGCCTCGGGGACCAGCACGAGGGTGTAATCCTCGAGAGACACTTGGAGGACCGCTGCTGGCGCGGGCTCCAGCACCACCAGGTCGACATCGTCCAGCCGCACTTTAAGGGCACAGCCCGCGGCCAGGACCACCACGGAGATGAGCGCACCCGCGAACGGGGGCCCCGCGGGGACTTGCAGTCTGGGCGCTGTCGTGGACGCGGGGCCCGCGGGCTCCTCGGTTCGGCGGCGCTTGGCAGGGCCTGGTTCCGCGGGCTGCGGCCCCTAGCAGGGCGCAGGGCAGGCGCTGGGGCTGCGGGGCCGGCTGCCCATCATCACCTGGACGGCGCTGCGGGCGGCGAGGGGGTGAGAGGGCCGGGCCCTGCTGGCAGTGACAAGTCTCGATGACAGGTGAGGCGGGCCGGGTGGGGAGTGGGGCGAGTCCTGGAGTTCCGGGGGCTCCTCCGGGACTGCTGAGTCATGGTTCCGCGGAGCTGCGTGCGGCGTAGAGCCCGGCCTCACGGGTTTGAATCTCAGGGTCCTGACGAAGATCTGTTCGCGCTCCCGACAGCCATTGCTTTTGCAAATGACGCGAACGGAACAAGAGCCTCATAATGTCAACTTAGGCTCCACCCCCTGCGAGGCTCCGCCCCGTGGATTGCGGTATCGGTGCGGCCCAACAACAGTGCCTGTGGTTGGTAGGTCGCCGTAGGGAAGTACTCTTATAGGCCTGTAGGGGGCAGAATACTGCATAACTCATTATTAGGGAAGAAAAGATGTTTGAGTAATAGTCTCATGTTTTTTGGCTTTAGGACTGTTTTTCTGTGATTTCAGGCATTCTAGAGAAAAGAACACAGACTCCTCCCGCCCCACTATAAAATGGACTCATCCAAATGCTCCATGAAATTTCTTTAACACTTCGTCATTTCTTTGAGGAGTAAATGGAAAATACTGAATTCTCTTAAGGAAAAGTTCTGTTTTGAAACTGAATAAAATATTTGTGGCAGTTTCTCCCAGAAGGTTAAGGCTGTTATAAAATTATTAATAATAGGGATAATAATTAAAACTATCAACATAATTAAATCATTTTATTAACCCCTTATTATGTGTCCACAATTCTAGTGAGTGTTCAAAAAATGATCTTTTTCTTTAAAAACAAAACCTCAACACTTCATTGAAGTATGAGAGACATTTAAAAAATCGTACCTATTTAATGTATACAACTTGAGTTTGGAGATAAATATACATTCGTGAAATCATCACCACGATCAATGTCATAAACATGACCATCACCTCCAAAAGTTTCCTCCTGCTCTCTGAAAAAAGTAAAGGTTTTCATTTTTCAAAATCACTGAAACTCAAAGAGGTAAAGCAAGTTATCAAAGTTAAATACCTAGTTTGTGTTAGATGTTGGAATCAAAGGCAGACTTATCTGGTTTTAAATCATGGACTTTTTCCTTATATATTTATTGTATATACACCTAGGAGTGGATTGCTTAATTGGTATTATGTGTCACTTTTCAAATAGGTAACGACTCCCGCTCTTTCCCAAAATGTTTATCACAGTTTACACTCCTGTGAACAGAGTATGTTTCCATTTCATCCTTGCGAACATTTCTTATTGCCAGGCTTTTATTTTCTCTATGAACTTTAAATGAAAGCTTTGATTGTTTTTAATTTTAAAAATTGAAGTATAGTTGACATACAATATTATATTAGTTTCAGGGGTACAACATAGTGATTCAACAATTATATGCATTATGTAATGCTCACCACAAAAAGTGTACTTACTCTTATTGTCAGACTCATAGCTATGTCTTTTCCAATCTGGTTTAGTAAAATGCTATTTCATTGTGTTTTCATTTTGCATTTCTGATTGCCAGTTAAGGTGGATCATTTGTAATATGCTTATTAGCCATTCTTATGTCTTCTTCTTTGAAATGTTCCTATGTTCTATTTTTTTACTTTTAATAAATTGGATTTCAGCTTTTCCTCCAGCTTTATGCAGTGTTGGTAGCTTTTTGTTCAAGGACCAACTCAACATTTCCCTTCTCCAAAAGGCCCTTGCTGATTATTTTATTTGAAATGGCTTTCTCCACTTACTCTTTATCTCATCACTCTCTTTATGGCCTTCATTATAGTATCACAATCTATAAATAACCAACATATTGTTTTTTAAAAATTGGGTTTCAGATATACTGTATACCAGTCATTTATCACATGCAGGTGCAACAGATGTCTCTGTCACAGTCTCTGAGGACTTTGCCCTTTGTTTCACTATAATTCTCACCTATTCTACCTTCTGGTGTAACTGTGGTGATTTAATATTCTCATGGATCCCTCCCCATCCTACCCCTTAATCTAGGCCTCTTAGTTCTCTTTCTCTTCAACATTTTAGTCTTCCCTCCTACCTTATTGACTCATACTCTTGACCCTGTCATTACTACAAATTGTAACTCCTCTGTAATAATAATTTCAAACATTTTAGTCTTAGAGTACCACCTCCTAAATTTCTAGCTTTGTCTTTTAAATATCCAAACTCTATCAGTTCTTCACTCCTCTGGAAAAATCCATCCATCCTTCCACCTTTTCACTGAAACTGAGACCTTCACTTCTCACTTCCCTTCTTATCTGAAACTTAAATTCGATGGACAGTCGTTATAATCATTGCAATGTTAATGTCTTCATCTCCCTTTCCTGACCTCTGCTTTGCTGGTTAGTATATCTGCTACTCTGTGCCTGCACTTATGCAGCTGAAAGGGGCTGAAAAGAAAAAAAACAACACTCAACTCCATTGATTGATCTCATTGTATATTCATGATCACCATCCTCAAGTGGGCTTCTAATGCTGCCCAGTGTGGATTTACTATGTTGCTCTATTCCATTCACTCACTCTCCTAGATGAACACTGCCTGCTTTCTCCTTTCTCTGCAAACCTCCAATACCTCAAACTTTATTTTTTTTCCTCCAAGATGGTCATCTTGCTGCTTTTTCAGAGACAATAGAAGCAATCAGAAGACATTTTCTAAAATTTCCGTAATCACATCTCACCAAGCTCCACTGGGACTATATATTCTGCCTTCTCTCCTGTTGGCACCTCAGGAAATGTCTGCTTTCCTAGCAAAGGCTACTCCTTTCATTTGTGAAATTGACCTCATCTCATTTTGCCTCCTCAAGAGCATCACTCTATCAAGTCTGCCATCTCTGTCCAGTATCATCAAATTTTAGTTACCTCTACTGAATCATTATCTATATATATATATAATTGAGAAGTAAACTCTTTGTTCTTAAAACAAACAAAAACTCTCTTAATGACTTCTCTTCCAGTTTTGAATCAATTTTCTCCTTCCTTATACACCCAAACTCTTGAATTAGTCAACTGTATTTTCATTTTCTAATTTCCCTCCTTCTGCTCTTTATTGAACCCACTACAATCACAGTTCTATCCATGCCATCCCACTCAGTAAAGTCATCAGTGATGAACCGCATTATGAAATTCAGTGGTTGATTCTCAGTCCACCTCTTGAGTTATGGTCAACAATTGACACAGTCTATCACTTTCTCCTTTAGACATCTCCCCCTAGGCATCCAAGATCTCACACTCTCCCAGTCTGTTTCTGGCTTCTCCCTCTCAGTTTCCTCAGCTGTTTGCTTCGCATTCTAAAGGTTGGACTATTCCAGGACCCTATTCTTGGCCTTATATATATTTTTCTAGCAAACCTTACTGTCTTCCCTTAAGTTCCACCTGCATATAGGTGACTCCCAATATGACTCTCCCTCTGTACCTTTCCCATGAATATCCAATTGCATTGTCAGCATTTTCTCCTGGCTATCTATTAAGTTGAACCATATGCAATTTTCATTCTTGTAGGTTAGAATAGTTAAATAATACCCATTTTATGTATGTCAATCTAATAATAGGAAATCTAAATTTGAGCTCCTCATGTTTCCCTAAACCACATTCTTTCAAAATGTTCACCATCACAGTAATTGGTAATTCCTTCCTGTTGCTCCAGACAAAAACTTGGAATTATCCTTGAGAGTCTTTCTTTCACATTTCACATCCATTCCACCTGGATATCCTGTACCATAGCACTTTTTACCATCCCTCCTGTTCCCAGCCTGCTGCCACCTTCATCCATGTAGTGAATTGCTGTAGAATCCTCTTAAGTGGACTCCTTACATCTCATCTTTGTTTCTTTTCAGGCTAGTCTCCCCACAATAGCTATAGTGGTTCTATTAAACCTAAGTCAGATCATGTCACCCCTCTGCTCAAATACCTCTGGTTTCACTCAGGCTCAAAGCCATTATTTTTGCAGGGGCCTATGGGGCTCTAGGTGATCTGGACTTCCCACCACATTATGTCAGACTGCACCTCCTGTCACTCTCCTCTTTGCTCTTTCTATTGAAGCTCTCTGGCCTCTATGCTCTTCCTAGGAATTGACAGGCATACTTAAACAGATTTAGCAATTGCTCTTTTACCCATTTATTTGCATGCTTCCTCAGTTCTTTCAAACCATTACTCAAAGGGTTCCATCTCAGAGTCTTTCCCTAAGCATACCATGTAAAATGGAAATCTCTGACCCTTCTACCTGCTCTCAATCTTTAGCATTTACCAGTACTTAGCATGTTGTACATTTTCTTTATTTATCTTGTTTACCTTCTAGCCTTGCTGCCAGAGTATATGCTCATAATGGCAGTGATTTTTTTTTTGAGAGGGCATCTCTCATATTTATTGATCAAATGGTTGTTAACAACAATAAAATTCTGTATAGGGGGGTCAATGCTCAATGTACAACCATTAATTCATCTCAAGCCTAATTCTCGTCAGTCTCCCATCTTCTGAAGCATAACGAGCAAGTTCTTACATGGTGAACGAATTCTTACATAGTGAATAAATTCTTACATGGTGAACATTCAACACAGAAACTTTCGGTTTTGATCACGCATTATGAACTATAAACAATCAGGTCAAATATGAATATTCGTTTGATTTTTATACTTGATTTATATATGAATCCCACATTTCTCCCTTTATTATTATTATTATTTTTATTTTTAATAAAATGCTGAAGTGGTAGGTAGATGCAAGATAAAGGTAGAAAACATAGTTTAGTGCTGTAAGAGGGCAAATGTAGATGATCAGATGATCAGGTGTGTGCCTATGGACTAAGTATTAATCCAGGCTAGACAAGGGCAGCAAGACATCCACGGATGCAGAAGATTTCTCTCAAAGCAGGGGGGGTGAGGTTCTGAGCCTCACCTCTGTTGATCCCCAAATTCTCACCTGATGGCCCCCCTGCGACTGTGCCTGTCTTAGGTTGTTCCTCCCTTGAGGAATCTTACCCGTCTCTGGCTAACCAGTCATCTTCCGGGGCCATACAGGGAAATGTAAAGTTGGTAAGTGAGAGAGAAGCCATATTGTTTGCAAAGGTTAGCTTTTTACTTCTTTGCAGATTTATGCCCTGTGGCTTCTATGCCCAGCACTTGTCTCGAGGTATCTTTACCACCTGGAGGAATTATGATACTCGGTAAATTC